AAGCACAGAAACATAATTTTAGTTCATAATGTGCATTTTAAATGTAGTTTTTAGTTACATATTATACGATTAAAAGTTGTATATATTCAGCCCTAATGTAGGCTAAATGTACCAGGATGACTAAAACTGTTATTACAGTGGAACCTCTATTCAAGGGACACCCTCGGGATCAAGGCAAGTGTCCCTTGAATGGAGGTTTGGCTGGGGTTTGTTGATAATTAACCAATAAATAAATTCTTTTATTCTGCCTCACGGCTCGGTATCTGCTGCAGTCATTATTTCAAGTAACTAGGTAATGTATAAAATATCACGATTAACTTATCTCTGCGATGTTGATGTTGTGTGTTGAATTCCCACAAGTGTCGTACATCGATTTTAGTCAGATAGTTCATGTTTTGAAAGTTGTCGCCATTGTGATTAGTATACACTTAAACTTATCAATGATTTTGGTGGTCAGTCACTTTTTGAGTGCTAAGGTGTCCCCTTAAATGGAGGTTAAACCCGAGTTTCGGGACCCTCAAAAAGTGTCCCTTTCCCCTGAATGGAGGTGTCCCTTCAATAGAGGTAACAAATACAAAGGTTATGTGAACACTTTTCCGGGTCCAAATTTTGTGTCCACTGAAAAGAGGTGTCCCGAAGGAGAGGTTCCACTGTATGTTGGCTTTTTTCTTTATTGTTAGTGAAAGGCTTTTAAAGGGATTTAAACTGTATAATCTTTCATGGACGCATTCATATATTCATTCATCTTGAAGGGGACTACAGTTAAGTCCCTCTAAGACTGGCACCTTTGAGACCAACACTATGTGTCTGTCTTTAGAGAGCCAACTTAAAGGAATATAGAAAGGCAGGGACCAACTCTCTAGGTGTCCGTCTTATAGACGTGTCCGTTAAAAGAGGGTTGACTCTGATTGTACGTCATAATTATACAGGCTGCGTCACCCAAAGATCACTTAAGAAAATGACTAGAAGAAAAAAGAAGAAAAAGAAGAATTTTCCTAAGCTTCCTAGCAAATAATGTTCAAGGTTGTCTCGACTATCCTCCGACTGATATAAATGCGGCGAAAATAATGTTCATTTATTCGCTGCCTGGCTATTTGCTGTTCGATTTCAGGATCCAACATCACAAAAAAGCCTCAGTTTTATCAACATGTATGAATTGCTGTTTGATCGTGTACCACGAGAGTCTCATGACAAGTGGCTGTTATAATTAAAGGAAACGTAAACTTCCCAGTTAGGTGAAGTAATTGCTCGGCGTACATCCGTGTTTTTTGCGAGACAAAAAGATTGTATATATAGGCCAAAAGATTTTTCCTACACTTCAAAGAAAGAAATGCAAAGCGCCTTCTATAGTTAACTAAATCAGGGATCAATCTCCTTCTTTGAAATGAGCATTTCATTTATGTGACAAAAAATTGAGAAGTCACCGAGCAAGCTCTCCGACTACCTCTCTCTATTGACAAGCTTTCTGTTGATCTTTACTCCTTGCCAATCCTTCACTCGATGTCCACTGTATTATAGGCACTTCCCCCCTTTTCTTTATACTCTCAGGAGCCGATTGCTACTATCTATTGGTAATTAAAGACGCTACTCATAGGACGTCGCTCATTATTAAGATTATCTATAATGAACGTTCTCGTGTATTTTTGGTTCTTTTAAAGTTAAAAAAAAACAAGGTCACCAACTTCTAATTAAAGTCTTGATGTTTCTTGTTTTTGTTAGTGAATTAATGTAATTGGTTAATTTGATACCCTTGAATACTGAAATTAAGGACTATCTTCGTATTGTGTCTTGGTCTTTTGCGCTTTAACAGGGGCTTGATTATAATAAGATTAGCGTAGAACCTCGGCAAAATGGGACTGTTAGCTGCACTAAAACAAAAAAAAAGTCGCGTCGGGCGTGCTGCATGAAAAAGATTACAACAGCACCTGTTATTGGTCTGTAATTGATACCAAAACATTGTAAAGGTACGGAGGTTCATAAAGCTATGGCTTTCTACCGAACTTTCTTGGGAAAAGTAATGTGAACATGTTGAATCACATACTTTAAAGATCTTGAAATGAGATGTCTTTCAAAAGTTACTGCGCTGTTGTTGTTGCCTTTAGTTTGTCTCAAGTGAACGTTGTTCATGTCTTTTGTTGATTTTTATGTTTGCCAGCTCGTTAGAGTCAACTTCAACTTGAAAAAATTGGTGACAAGTTTGAAAAGCATTTTTACCGAGTCTGTATGTTACGCGTTCCATTATTTTTTGAATAAACGAGCAGAAGGAGAAGGGTGACTAAGAATTGCTCGTCAAAGGTCTGAACAGATGTGCAAACTAATTGAAGATTTAATAAATTTAGGTTGTTGTCAAATCCTTGCTGCAGAGTATTTGTGTGCGGGATGTTAGGGTTGCTTGTGGCTGCGGATCGGAGACTAATATTTTCAGCACTGAGATTAATTATCCACTGTGATGTTTTTTTTTGCTTCTATGTCCTTTCTTGAAGTCTTAAAATATTTTTTGAGTTAAGTCTGTTATTTACTATTGAATTAGGAAACTGAAGTTGGCTCTATGAGAACCAAATGCCCGCGAAAAACTCATATTCTCAAATCAGCGAGCAACGTTGCTTTTTTGTAAAGCAACACATTGCAAATTTGAAAGAATGATTTCCTATTTTTACTTCTCCTTCGAACGAAAATGTTAAGGCACTTAGACAAACAGACAGTAGAGAAAACGTAAAACATAACTTATCCTAAGTCTATCCATGGCATAACGCTGATCGATCGTAGGCAAAGAATTCTATTTTTCGACCATCAGACTGCAAGTAGACATAAAGCTGGTTAGAAGGGCTCTGTCACGCTATAATTGTTGTCTTTTTAAAAAGCTATAACTTGTCTTCGCATCAATTGAAATCCAAAAATAATGCTGCAGTTTTGTTATTTAACACTATATTTAAGCGCTGAAACTGTTCCTTGTCGTCTGTTGCTAGGATGGCAAGGATGGACATGAATTAAAACTTGAAAAAATTGGGATAACTCTTTCAATTTTGAAAGCTATGTCTGCAAAAATCACCGAAGAAAATATTGTGGTTAGAACTCCCTGATGAGATTGGATTGCTCTCCTCTTCATAACTTTACAGGCCGGAGCCTTTTTGTGTATGGGTAAAGGTACTAAGCAATGACTTAAGCATAGAATTGACCTAAAACAGCAATAGAGCGGTTTTCATTTGAGTGTCGAAAAGTAATTGGTTTTGCACTTTCTACACGATGCGATTGGCTTAAAAGTTTCGCGCCACCTTTTCATCCAATCAGAAATAAAACCAAAGCCAATTGTGACGCGCTCGCATGCATTTTCCCGCGCTTTGCGTCAGCCACATGTAATTACTTCGAGTTTTGATTGGTTCAATGTATTGTCTGTGTCCTATGTGATTGGCCAGAGTAATTACTTTGGTTTTGGTTTTACGACACTCAAACGAAAACCACTCTATCCTCCTGACACAATCCCTTTAAACATGGGACTTAAAAGTACCATGTTTTTGTAAGGCCAGTAATCAACTCAAAAGATGATGATCGCTATTACTTTATTTACAACATTTCATTGATTGTTCAGAGTTTTAAATAATTCAAGATCTGATATAGTAAATTGGAAGGGTAATGTACGACGATTAACTCTTTTCTTTTCCAGCAAAAATAGCTGAATTAAATCCAGTCAAAAGCTACTAAATGGCTTGAGAGGTTTGAGCTAACATACTCCCAAGGTGTCTAAAGAGAGTTCGAATACAGTAGGTATACATTTCGGCCTCCTTCATTTTATGTTATAGTTAAAGTAGGTGAAACAAACCGAAACATTTACTTAACAGACCAGAGAGTATATCATGTATATTAAAGAAATCAATTAAATTTAACAATTTTTAGTTAACGATCTCCGTGTAATAAAGTGCGTACTTTCTAAACAGGTTGATGCAAGGCAAATATTATAAGCAAATTTATCAGACAGGAAAGCCCTGACCGATCGCTTTTTCATAATATTTCGTTACATTATTTAAGCACTACAGGAGTACAAGTATGATAAGCCGTAAGCGAATTTTTGTTTAATAGAGACCTAAAGATAAACCGTTTCCGTCTACGGGTAAATTATTGGAACCCGTAGCCGTTAATACGGTAGATGGCATCTTACCCCGGTAAAACGGCTAACGGCGATGCCTGAGAACGGTGATGCCATTTGCACATCTGGGAAATCATTGTTCCCTTTTTCATAACTACTTCACAAAAATGTTCACCTACCCGTACCCGAAGAGAAAAAATGGTGTATCTTAAGGTCCCTAAACCTTTTTTTACACCGGCAATAAAATTTGTGAGTGAGATAGGAATTAAGAGCAACCTATTTGACTTAAGTGTCTTTCTTAGCGGTCTGATCATGAACAAGTTTCTAAACCTTTAGTTATTCAAACGGAGTGCTCTGCATCATAGAAGCGACGATTTCTTAAAGCATAATAACTGCAGCAAGATGTTCTTCTAGGGACGTAAGTACTAAATCGATATAAGCTTTGAAAGGAAAAATCATAAATTAATGTCAAGTCATTAATGTCATTAAGTTCCCAAAACAGTTGCTGATGAGGAAAGAAGCCATTAACGCATGAAAATCGTGGGTTGTAGGCCATTATACACATTCAATAAGCCAATAAGTTTCAAGAATATCATACAGAGCAGAAAGTTGGAATGAAAATACAGAGTTGACTAGCCTATAAAAATAAAGCAACGCTGTCATCTTTTGTTCCTCTATGGTAAAAAAACTAATTAAATAGAAACAGATCACCACAGCCCTTAAGTAAATGTATGAACAACAGTACACTGGTATGGTGTTAGATGGATATTCGTAGAAATGATCAGCAGTTTAATACTGTCTCAATCAACGTGGGTTCAATAAAAGCCAAAAAAAGTGGCAATTTAAAAGTACTAAATTCGATCCGTTATCATCTATTGGTAAAGCTCCTGCGTATAAAAATAGTAATATTTTAACAGTATTAATTGTAACCAAATGGAGACCCATCAGTAAAATGCCTGAGGGTGTATGAAGGGAATGATTGTTGTCGATATGGCTCAGATGTGCAAGAGAATGGGTGAAATGATGACGTCATCATGTTATGTGGAAGCATTTCATGAACTGGCGGGAGAAATGTTGACATGCTCGGAAGATGATGACCATGATCGAGTGGTCGTTCCATGTCTGGTTTTCTTCTGAGAACAGGTGACATAACTGGCCGATTGCTATTTCTTGGAGATTGGTAAAAGGAGAGGTGGGAGAGTGAACATTCATGCCTGTTTCCCATGGTCTCAGCATTACAGAAACTTGAAAGACTCGTTTTTGATGTTAGTTCAACTCCGGACTTCTCGTGTTTTCGATACTTTGCTCTGCGATTTTTGAACCATACCTGTAAGAGGAGAAAACAAAATTAATTAAACGTTTCTGAGAAGGACATTTATGAAATGAGAACCAACGTACTGTCCTAATGAGGCAATAGAGATAAGAAGTTATGACGTAACAAAAATAAAATTTGTGAAATTATGGGAAAGAAGTTGGTGCAAATTGGTGATTAACTAGGCCTTATGGTCATCGTTACTATCCAAGCCAATTTTAGAAGGACTTGTAGGGAGTCATCAGAGCAAACCGGTGCGTATATCTACCCACCAAATTACACTAACAGGCTGATTTTTGACAAGGGGGCGTTTTTCATCTTGTTCTTTCTGAATATTCTAACCAATCCCATAATTTTACAAGTTTGAATTTTTTGACTTCAATTTTGTCTTCTCTGTTGTTAATCCATATATCGGTAGATTCCTCTTCTTCTCTCCCATACCGCACCTCTCCCCTTCTTGTTCCTCTCTATTTTCTTCTTTGTTCCCCTCCCTTGATCTATCCAGTCAATTCACAGCATATTCTAGAAATATTTTCTAAAACGGTAATACAGTTAACGATCTTTTAGCGGACTCCTCGCTAAGACGGACACACAGAGTAGGTCCCTGCCTTTCTATATTCCTTTAAGTTGACCCTCTATATAAGACGGATACGGTCAACTCCCTTTTAACAGACACTTCTATAAGACGGACACCTCGCTAAGAGGGTCACCCAGAGTTGGTCCCTGCCTTTCTATAATCCTTTAAGTTGACTCTCTATATAAGACGGATACAGTCAACTGCCTTTTAACGGACACGATAAAAAAACGGAGTCCTCGCTAAGACGGACACCCAGAGTTGGTCCCTGCCTTTCTATAATCCTTTAAGTTGACTCTCTATTTGACGGACACTTCTCTTAGACGCACTTAAAGTGCTGGTCCCAAAGTGATGTGTCTTAGAGGGAGTTGACTGTAATTCAAATGATTGTTACATTTTGGCCCGTTTCCTAACCAAAGCCAAGTAATTCTTATTTACCTGTATTCTTGATTCTGGTAGGTTTGTAAAATTTGCTAACTGCTCCCTTAGTAGCACATCTGGATAATGTGTCTTGCAAAAGGTCTGCTCTAAAACTTGAAGTTGCCGAGGAGTGAAACAAGTGCGCATGCGTCTTGGCTTGCGTCTTCCTTTATCATCTTGATTGTCAAGAATAACATCTGCGTTCAAAGCAAATAATTTCTTTTACTATTATGAATATTGCAGTGGACAAGTTGGCGTCAATGCTCGACTGCTCAATATCTACCCTTGAATTCTAGAGTTCTTTTCCAATATCTGGCCACGGTTGTTAAAACGGTGGATAGCGCTATCCACTGGATAGATCACAATCCAGTGGATGAGTATTAGAAAAAAAACCAATTACATTATCCACTGGGTTGATATTTATCCGGTGGATACTGCTATCCACCTTTTGAACAACTGAGCCCAGACCTATAAACCTATATTTACCGCGTTGTTTACAGTCAACTCTCTTTTATGGGACACCTCGCTAAGACGGACACCCAGAGTTGGTCCCTGCCTTTCTATATTCCACTAAACTGACTCTCTATAAGACGGACATTTCTCTTGACGGACTCATAGTGCTGGTACCAAAGGCGTCCGTCTTAGAGGGAGTTGACTGTATCAGGATCAGGCAGGCGAGTGCTTAAAATTCCAAGTCCTCCTCGCCTGCGCCCCTCTCTTAGCGTGGTGACTCCCGGTCATAAAATTTTATCCACTTACGAGGGGCTAAGTTGCTGTTGAATTCAAGTATTGTACTTCAATAACTGAAACTGGTGTGGCAGCATGTAAGTAATGTGAGTTTGCTCTAAAACAGACAGTTACCTTGAATTTTATAGGAAACGACTTTAACGGATTAACTCACGCCATCACGGAACGTTTACATAATTACACTGGCATTTTGTTAAAATTTAATTTAAATGAACTTGTCAGGCGATCGAGAGGCAATTTTTTAGATAAGTTGTGTTGCGGCATTCTTAACACACATATGATTTTTAGCATTAACTTAAATGCAATTTTTGCGCGCAAGGTTTTATTGATGTAAGACGCCCCTTTTTTGCGGGCATCCAAAGCCCATTTTAACCAAATGTGAATGTCAAACGTTTTAAGTTTATCTATGTTTTAAATTCTTCCGAAAGTGGCCATAACATAATGTAAAGCAATTATTCGCTAGGGTGCAGCAAGGCCAACACCCTGGCACTTAAACCTTTGTGTCATGGATACATGCATGGTCACTGTCTTGACTTTAATCTTCTGGTCTCAGTGGCTTGGGGATCAGAGATCATGGCCCGCTAAAGTTCAACTACTGCAGTGCCAAACTGATTAATAACGCCAACTTACTGGGTCAGTCTTCGATTTTCTTGCATACCACAAATGCATAACTAAGATGTTATTTTAGAGTAAACACAGATGTGTTAGTAGACTGATGGTCAATTGTAAGTGATTTATAGTTTTAAACGTACTTTTGCGAGTTATTTGATCACACGAAAAGATTTTCTTAATCATCATAAGTTGATGATTAGTATCTATGACTTCAACTTCTGATAAGTATTTGAAATTCTCCAAAACGTTTTATTTTGCAGAATATACTCAAAAGGCTTACAGTGCTAGGCTCTTGACTAGTACTACCACCATTCTTTTTTCTGTAATGGCACTGGGTCAACTATCTTTGTTCACATTAAGGCCGTTTCAAACACTCCTTAAAATTGCTAACTTAGTATGATAGGAATACTTTTTCTATCAGAAGAATCAGTATTACTGGTTATTGTAACTGCCCATGTTCTCTCTCATAAAACACCTGTCAAAATATTAAACAGAAATTGTCACTGAAGCCTATCGAAAAATGTGCATATTAAGAACGATTTCAGAAGCTTTTTTTTGTGTAAAACGCCATTTTAATGGCATACAAGTCATGGACAATTAGGAAACATAAGTGTATAGTGTGTGGGTGAAGCACCTTCTGGTTTACTTGATTTCTCACTAGTAGAGCACCATATTAATATTCTCATCATTTAAAACAAAATATTGAACATTTGCCTACAGACTGTCCAAAACCGACTTAACCCGAATGTTTAAGTCGAACGTTTCAAGTTTCTTTGTTTTTTACTTCGTCCGAAAATGGCCATAAGGCACTGGCCATAGATGCACATACTGGCACTAAAACCTTTGTGCCATGGATACATGTTCTCTGTGCTGAACTTTAATCTTTATGTCTCTGGCTAGTAGATCAGAGATCATGGCCCGCCCAAGTTCAACTAGTGTGGGCCACCTGATTAATGAAGCCACCTCACAAGGTCAATCTTTTGTCCGCGTCGATTTTTTCTCGCATATATTTGTGCCAGTCTTTTGCTCAAGTTAATTTTGTTGCATACTGACATGTAAATGCCGAGTAGACACAGATGTGTTAGATTGACGGTAACTTGCAAGTGATTTATAGTTTAAAACGTACTTTAGCAAGTTATTTGATCACACGAAACTGAGATTTTCTTAATCATCATGAGTCTATGATCAGTATGTGATGTCTTCAAAATTTTCCAAAACGAGTTATTTTACAGGGTATAATCAATAGACTTACTGTCCTATTGGCTCTTGACTACCTTTCGTTTTTTCTGTAATGGCACTCCAGCTATCCAATACCGGGTTTAACCAAATGTTAATGTTAAACGCTCCAACTTTCTTGGCTTTACTCCGTCCCAAAATGGCCATATCTAGGCACTCGATAGGTGTAACAGCAGGGTGTACCAAGACCCACATTCTGGCGCTTAAACATTTGTGCCAATTGGATGGTCACTGTCCTGAACTTTAATCTTTTGGTCTCTGGCTATTAGATCAGAGATCATGGCCCGCCCAAGTTAGACGCCTGTGTGCCACGCTGATTAATAAAGCCACCTCTCTAGGTCAGTCTTATTTTCTCGCATATTTGCGTTTAATTGTTATGTTATTTCAGAGTAAACACAGGTGTGTAAGACTGATGGTCACTTTCAGGTGATTTAGAGTTTCAGTTATACTTGCGAGTTATTTGTTCACATGAAACGATTTTCTTTGTCATCATATAAAGTTTATGATCAATATCTATGACTTCGACTTCTGATAATTATTTGAAATTCTCCAAACCATTCCATTTTACCGAGAATACTTAACCCTTTAAGTCCCAATAGTGACCAACATCAATTTTCTCCTAACGATATCCATAGATTGTTAAGAGCAAAGTCTATGAGAATCAATAAATTGACTACAAAGAGATCAATCTTTGATCTTTTATTAAATTCTCTCAAGTAATTTTTAAAGGATATGTATGGAGATCAGTCTTGAGAATTTGTATGTAGATATTGGGGATTAAAGGGTTAAGAGACTTACTGTCCAAGACTCTTGGTTATCAGAAGAATCAGTATGACTGGTTTCAACGTTCTCTCTCACAAACTGATACCACACAAAATATTCGACTAAAATTGTCTCTGAGGCCCATCGAAAATGTGCGTATTTAAGAACGTTTTCGATTGAAAACGAATTAAACGGCTTTATCTAGGAAAGTTTTGGTCTATGAATTTTTCCTATCTAATTGAGCCCCCAAAGTAAAATAAAGAATGGTTGTATACCAAAGAAACAACCAGTCTGTTAAGAAGTAAAACCTTACAAGATCGTAAAAACATGATGAGTGATCTTCTTTGCACTGTTCATGTTATGCGCAACAAAGAGGTTCCAACGTTCATAAAGTCTATGTATTTTCTGAAGTGTTTATATTACTGACAGCTATATTTAACAAGACTTGATTTTGATTTCAGTCAGTGCGGCAAACATACATATTTGAACTATCATTCATTCCAGCAACACAAATCAGGGAAAAAAGGTGAAACACAAAGTCAACTCTGTTCCTACAAGGCTTACTAAACGTTTTCTGTAATCAGGGCCTTTAGACATATTGCATGCATGGTTATAACCACCGACAGAATTCGAGTGTCCATCTTAACGGGAATCGCAAATTAATTCAATCAAACTGAGGGCTCCAAGAAGGATCTGTATTATTTTTTTAGTATTCTATTTCCTCTTATTCTTTCACTTCTTTATGCAAAAAACATCATTGTCTTAACCGCCAAAACCAGTTCTTTGTAAAATTTTTGCTGTGCAAGTGGAAATTCTACACACTGCCAAGCGATCGAAAGAGTTTTTCTGTTATTATAGTCCAAAATTCCTGACCTCGGAATGTATGAGTAAAAAAAAAACTATTGTACCCTTATCACACAAAATGATAAGTAGAAATCGTCCCTCTAACGATTTTCTAGAGTTCGCCATGACCCTAAGTAATCGGTGCCATTTCCGCCACTAAAGTTTCCTTCTAGGATAATTGATCATTTTAAAAGTCACATAGGCACGTACAAAATGTCGGGATGTAGTACTCGGCGCCTCATTTGTTAAAATAGTAGTATCGCCGACAGGCGACTGTCGTTTTTGACAAATTGTTTCTTATGCAGGATTTGATGGAATTGCTCCACCTCGCACTTTGAGGTCAAAACGTGTCGTTATTTTTCCTCAGGCACCAGACTGAAAGCAAAATGGGCTGATGGTGGCATTACATTGGCAAAGATAAAAAATATGCTATTTACGTTAACCCTTATATATTTGAAATTCTCTCTTTTTCATTCTCTAAAGTGATTAAACCTCCTTTTAACATCCATTTTGTAGCTTTCTTTCTATGCAGCGGGTGTATTTTGTACTAAATCTGCGAAGTTATAACTTCAAATCATAGATTACCTAGGAATGGCAGAGGATCGGTTTAGTGATTAAAACACGAGATAAAGCGGACTGGTTTTAGAAGCTCTGTTTAGACTATCGATGAGATCGTACAGTAGGAGAAATTTATTCAGCAGCTTCAAGTTTTCAGTTTGATTGCATACTGAAGTCTTCAAGCCGTTCTGTTTCTATTGCATTCTGTTAAATACTCTTTTAGTCATGAAAGTAAACTTCAACTGTTTGTCAGTTCATTGCAACAGTATAAGGTTATAGTGGCTCTTTCTGGAAAGTAAATATAAAATAAGTTACCATTTTTGTGGGTGTGACAATGTTCCTCCGGCATCTCCTTTGAAGAAGACCAAACAACTTTAATGCCTTTCTTTTCCTTAGGTAGAAATTTCTGCTTTTGGTCAAACGATAGCAAATCGTGAACCGGTGATTTTGGTTCCCTCTGTTTAGCGATTTAACCAGTGTCGCTTCCTGACTTAATACTAACAACGAATTCCTGTTATTTCCTGGTGAGTTTATGTTAGCAAATTAACAAACACTTCGCCTAAGGGTTTACGACACGGCCGGTTAGTGTAGTTAGTGGCATATGCTACTGATTCAGCTGATTTACCGATTGTGGTGTTTAATTGGAATTTTGTGCAAAAAACTGAAGAAAATGATAGCACACACAATCGTAAAGAAAACGTTTAAGCTGTGTTTCTTGAATCATTTTTTGACCCCCTTGAATCAGAGGTTTCACGACATAACCTAACTTAATTATGAGTCGCACGAACAATCGATTAACAGGAAATGAACACGCAAAACGCAGGCGCTGTTTATGCGATTAAGTTACGATTGATTTATTATTTATTTTCTGGGAAGTAAAGAGAGGGATGGGGAGAGAGTGATAATACACCTCCTTCCTACACGACAAAACTGCAAATTCTGAAACTATCCTGCCATTTCTGCCATCCTTTGTCAGGAAACCATTACATGGGCGTAAGGTCACCCAGTCCCCAGTCTTGAAAAGATTCGGATGTGCTAAGTGAAGCCCGCCATCTCTTCAAACTCGATTAAGGATTTGTGCAGCCAGTCTTGCGCTAATAGTACTACTAGTTACACTTCGTGAAAAGGTCATATCAAAAAGAAATATTCACGGATTAACATTGTGACCTGAAAAGCTGAAATCGCTTTGCGATGAAGGGGATAGGACAAGGTATCATGTGTTTTGCAAACTTAATGTCCAGTTGGTTCCATTTGCCACCTTTTTAGCAAGCCCCGACCGCTTAAAAGCGCCATAATGTAACAGATTTAGGTATTTAAAATTGGGAAAGAAATAATCGTTGAAAAGGTATATATTTTTGGCAAAATCCAATGACCACCCAAAACAAATTTAGTGAGAAAACAAGGCGCCTAAGTATGTCATCACAGATTAACCCCTAGCAACTTGTGGTGCTACAGAAGGCAACTTCTTTAGAATGTCAAGAACGCATAACTTGCTAAGCCGAAAATGCGACATGAAATGCTTCTAGACCTGGCTACACACGCAAATTAGGACAGTAAATAAGCTGCTTAGCACCTCTTGCCCATACAGATTAACACTCTTGAGAAAATGAGATTTATGCAGTGACTGATGCTTTTCAGAGGGGTGTGGAGTTCGTACGCTTCGAGCATGATTATATTGTATAAGCGCCAGTGTGCAAAGGAATGCTTTGTTTGTTGATCACTTTTCCCGCTTTGGAAGATTAGTTACTCGATTTATTGTTAGTCTACTAATATTTAGACCACTTTGCCCCTCTAAATTGTAAAACCACAGGCAAGTTTAGTTGATAGCCGCACTCATAGAGGAACCGTGTTTCCATGCTTTGTTACTGCGAGAGCTCAGTTCACAGTCGCATTGCGTCTTGTCAGTGTCTTGTGGCTAGCAGTAGAAAATCTTTGCATATTATCACTCTGAGCTAGTTATTAAAAATAATAAATTATATATTTTCAGTTGAAAGTCTATGAAATTGAAACTGCACTTCCTAAATTCCCTGCCTTGTGTCCTTGGCTTTGCTTGCATGCTGTGATTAATAAACGCAATTTCATATGGCAACCGTAAGCAGCTACGGATTTCCACTAAAATTCCTTTTTTTTCACTATTAAAACACTCAGTTTATAACATTTTTTGCACGATTATCAAGTGTCCCTGTAAACAGTTCAGTTACAGGTTTGGAGTGGCCAAATAGCGTCTGCGTTGATTTCACAATGTTGATTCTTGACAAACAGCTACTACTAGTAACTGCAGAGAAAAACATAGTGTATTTCAAATCACAGTTGTATGTGACTTGGACGTCGTTTTTCTGTTAAGCTGCTGAATTTCGAAGATATTAGATATGATGAGTACACTGAAAAACGAAGCATACATGCTAGACTAGACGCAACAACCAAGGTTAGAAGTACAACAATGTTCGCAATGATTTTCCGTGAAAGACAAAACAACTGTTTCATACTGTAAACTCGGCCATTAATCATTTCTTTCATTGACGGCCGCATTCGCTTCAGCTTCTAAATGTGTGTGAGTTTCTAAACATTCTGCGGCAAAGAACCCGAAGATTTCATATGTACAGCTGATTCGAGTTGAAGCATATGCAAAAGTGAATATTCGAGACTCTTCCAAAGCCAGCCTGAAAATTTACCAAAACCATATTTCCGTAACGCAGTTTTCTTTAACCTACCTTTTCAATCAATAGGAAAGAAAAGACTGGCGATTTCGAGGCGTGCAACAAGTCCCAGTCAGAGATTACATTTTCCTTCAGGTGACGGCGTTATATTGGGTGTACCGCTAATCTTTCGTTATACAGTGGTCAAAAAACTTACATTTTCAGGTCAGTAATAATCCAGTACCGTCGTTGGCCTCGAGGTTTCGAGCTATGCCAAGATTCAAAGAAACTAGGATATATTTTCGTGTAAAGCAGACAACCAATATCACTTTGTATATTTCAAGAAAGAGAGAGAATGAATTCAACTTTTAATAACTGACAATTTTTTGGGGTAATGTGGTAAACAAAGGAAGCGATTTTTGTTCCTAAACTGACTAAATTGAGAGGATCGAGGCATGCGACTGATCATTCAACTGCACCATGCTAACCGCCACAAACAGGATATATCATTCAGTACAAATTTGATGTATAACTGTCTTTCTTCACTACAAGAAAATTGTCAATTAAAGTGACCCCTTAAAAAAGTAGTTTTCTGCTAGAAAGTAGGGCAATAAACCCTCTTGAAAACTAGCGCTGCTGGAAGCTAATTTAGGGATGTGTATTTGTTAACGATTATTAGGTTCTAAACTAACAATCATCAAACCACTAAGCGTTTTATTAGCTGTAAAAATCATTTGTTACTCAATCTTCAAAGCACCTTTCAGGCAAGAACTGTTTTCGTGTTTTCAAAACACGAAGGCGTCAGAAAACGGGCGGTGTTTGGCGACGCAGACACTAATGGTGTGCCAAAACGCAGTGCAAGAACTAAAGAACTGTCTACCACCTGAAGGTATTCTGTATGCAGTGTGAAATATCGTCGCCCTAAACGATGAACTATAAGTTTAGTGTTCTGTACAAAATAACTTACCGGTTACAAACTCTCTACCTTTTGCCTTTCAAAAACTTGTTTCTTGAAGAAGTAGAACAGATATACTGCCACAAACCATGATCATTACGTCACAAACTACAATAGCCATTTTCTCTTCTAGCTGCAAACTCTAAACTAGTGCCGAAAACATACTTCAGCGCTAAATGCTAGTTACCCAAAAAGGAAAGATTAAGCCCATATCATTTTGTCTAAAACATCACGATTCAAAGACACCCGAGAAGACAACTTGAAACCGTCGCCTGGGCGTTCATCTCTTGTTTGCATCAATCAGACAACAAACGTTCATTGCCGTCACATTTGCGTAGCTTCTTTTATAATAGCACAGGTCAACAGAAAAAGCGTTGAAAAATGACCAAGTGACCTTGCCACGTCAAAACAGCTAATATTTATAGCTTCCAATAACCTGCATTAAAAACTTTTCGAGATTGTAAAAATAATCAGGGGGAAAGACCTACCTGCTAAGCGTTCCGCTAGCGACATTGTTGCAGCGGGGGAACGGGGTACAGTTGCCTGGTGCTGGTTGGCACTTCTGAAGTGACCTCGATTAGGAGAGAAACTATCGTTCCGTAGGATACTCGTAATGTTAAATGGGTAATATTTCGTTTCCATGCCACCTGAGCTATACATTAAAAAAGGAACCCTAGAGGAAGGATCAAGAACCGCAAATGAGACTTGAGTGAAATGTGCCGTCAATTTGTACAGTCTGGAATCCTTTCATCTACCGAAACTGGGTGTGTCCTGTTGTTTATCAGGAAGTAGACCCTGTCGCCCTCAAAACGCATTCATTTTGTGTTGTAATCACACTTACCTAACATTACAAGTGCTGTTAATTACTCTTGTGCATCTTACACAAGCTGCGAGTCAAAGTGTTGTTTACTTTGCGGCCAGGATGAGATGAAATTTTACTGATCTTAGGCACTTTGTTGTGATTTGTGCGTAATGTATGTCAACTCGAAACAGGGGATGTTTCTTTGTTACCAAATCAGTTTATTGCGATATTTTTAGCTCTTAACACAAAGTTAACAGCCAATTTTGGTTTCCGCCATTATGACGACATTTTTGGCCATTTTTAAGTATGACTATCCAAGATTAATGAAATAAGTTGTCTGTCCCTTTCCTTTTAGCAGCTTATCAGGGATCTTTGTAGTGTCAAATTGAGATTGCTCAGAAAATACATATATCTCTATTTTTTCTTTTAGATTTAAAAATTCATGAATGTTCGGACACACACGCTTGCATAAACGAAATAATCATTATTGAGACGTTTAAGTTTTACCAAGACGGAGACCAGCATTCGCCATTCCCCGTACAAACTCAGTGTTACAAGCCCCGGGTGTCAAGTGTCCTGTAGTAGAGAGAACGTGGCATTGATTGATGGTAAGTTAATTTCTTCCATTGTTTGCCCCACCTAAAGGTGGTGATTTGCTTTCTTTTCCAAGAGGAGCTCCTAATACCTCAAAATAAAAAAGGAAAATCCACTTGTTTGAGAGTTTCGTGAGTGAAACGCAAAATTCCGGTTTGGTACCAGATAGTGTTTCCCATCAGCACGATCAAATTTAAAATACCTTTGTGTGCACCTGTGCGAAAATATACCGGTCGCGGGGCTCCACCCAGAAGACCGTAAAGGTCTTTCCAAAAAATGAAAGTAATATTTAACCTGCCATGATCTTTGGACGGCTTTATCTCGCTAACATAGTCGTTTACACACGTCTTCAATTCCTGGCACTTGACATATTTTTTGTTAAAGAAGAGGCCCTCTTAGTGGGTGAGCGGGTACGTATGTCCCTAGTACTGAGGAGCAAGCCGTGTCCCTTTGGGTGTTTTACTAGTTCATTTGAAATTGCTGTTGTCCTTGTCGCAGTTTCAAACAATCTTTATGTCGTTTGTCGCCATTTCAACTGCCTTATGTCGCTGTTTCAGTTCATTGCCTCTAGAAGGGTAAAAGAGGTCGCGTCATGTTTCTTGTCGCTCATTGTTTTGCTGTGTGCAGGAAAATTAATTACTGTCACTTGTGGGTGCAGGCTTTCCGCAAGCAACGTGGCTGCGTCGGTAGTCGGCTGATCCCGGCTGTGTAATCGCTCAGCAGTTCTTTTTTAAAGAGTCTAATATTCTTCGGCCTTTGGCCTCTAACGGAAAATTTTCCTACAAGCTGGGTGGAAATTTCTGACAGACGTGCTTCAGAAACATAAAACCTTACCTGAAAGAAAGAGATTTCAAACTGGCAAGAATTAGAATTTCCAAAGACCCGTCGCTTCTCTGAAAACGTATAAGACTTATTTCTTGGTGATGTTGCGTTAAGTAAGGATTTCTTCCATTTTCCTTCCGAGTACGTTTCAACAACGATGAGCTTTCAGATTTCTACTAATCGGATTAGGAAGTGGTACATTTGTTTTGTGCATCATATAAAATCTTTTGATTCTTCTAGGATCCTTATCCTTCAGTGACAATGATCATTAATCATTTTCGGGCCAATTTCCTCTGTATTTGCACGATCCCTCACGTTTGATCACGGTCGATTATTAATTCGTTTTAGGCAGTTTTGGTAGAGCGAAAAAAAGATGGAGCTACCTGCAATATGTTGCTTTTTGTCGAGCATGATTAAAGGTACTCTCGAACTTCCATACCTTTGCTGGCTTCATGTTGAGTGATTTGTCAACTAAGATTAAGAGCAGATTTTCGTTGGTCCTCAACTCCTTCGCCACATTCTTGCTAATCCTTCCGTTCATCACGAATTTCCACGATTACGCGGTAAATTACAAGATAATAGGATTAGCATATCGTATCCATTTGTCGCACAGGTGGTGCAATGCGAGCAACGTTTTGTGTACATGAAAAGTGAAAGTAAATGTTTATCTGCACCCTACCTATAAGAAATCTGAATCCTTGGATTGAGGTTGAGGTATTATATATTGTAATTTGGAAGAGGAGAAATATAACATCAGAACGTTCAATGCATATACAGGGCGGCTGCTATGATGTTTGATTTAAACACTCCAGGAATTTCGAAGGAATAGCTTTCCGTCAGTCAATCGTTTCTACTATGCTCAAGAGCTAACGTTTGGATTCAGTGGAAGGCATATTAAGCGTATAGCAATACGGTATGTCTGATGCAATTGTTTGGCTTCAAAAATTGCCCTGACCTTTTGCCTTCGTTTTCCCTCCTTCTACACAGGTGCAGCTATTCCTAAACAATAAATCCTTACATGGTTAAAGACGTTTAAAACAGAATGAAATAAGACTCAGAGAATAAGGTTGATGTGGTTTAGTTTAATAGCCTAAAGATCTTAGGAATCTTAGGATCTACAGCCAATTGCGAAATGTGTAGAGACACTTATTTGGCCCAAAATGGGGTTACGATCAGATTTCGCACTATTCCTGCCCCTTTCCCTTCTAACGCGCTTTGTCCTACACCGTCCCAATCATATCGTACCTTTTTGTAGAGTGAAATTAAACCTGTAGTTTAGAAAAGGAAGTTAGCTGCAAATGTCTCTCCACTGGAACGCTGCACTTTTTTGTTCTCAGTTATTTTTTCTACGCATTTGTTTGGTAGTTTGTCATCTGAAAACGCAGTAGACCGACAGATCGCTTCACTCGGCTGCAGTACGCGCACAGACCGGTTCCTTTGGCTCGTTACGCAATCCTTGCGAGCAAGGAACGTGTGACGAGACAAGAACGGCAATAGAAGACGTGAGCGATGACTGGGGACGAGTGAGGTTTTATGAGTCGAGTCGAGTCGCTTGCAATACCACTCATTAGCCCTTAGAGAGAAGGGATAATGTAATTTGGAATGCTAAGTTTGCTGCGCTGTGTACATTGACCTTGACCCCTTTAACATGAAATTTGACAAGTGCAAGGTTGTCGAGGTGTACATGCTGACATTTGCTTTTACCGGGGCGTTGTGGGGGCTAGTCAGTCACATGTATTGTATTATACTCGACTTGAACTGAACACCCCACTTGGAGAAAAATGGAAAACATCTTGATCACACATAGTGGAACTGTTTTAGTCACTAGTCGTAGTAACTACAGTTTTTTTTTCTGCACTTAAAAAATTGACATTGCTTTGGGAAGGTCACATTTGCTCATTAATCCGGTCAAACAAATAAAACATTTAAAAGGTCATGTTGGTTTATAGGGGTGATCTTTAGATTAAGTAACCTATCGAAATGTAAAACAGATTTATTTTGTTTCCATTTGCGGCATACTAATAATGCGTTAATTAGCCGATATCAAATTTTCGTTTGTTGTGTAGTATTTGGTAGTTTCAAATTTATGCCAAAAAGGATGGTAAATATTAAGTAATAAACAAAATTAGTTAAGTTATAATGATTTTTTGTTTAGTTGTTTGTTGTCCACCCAGACTTAAAGCGGCTCTAAATAAAGTGATAATCAGTAACGAAACCTAAAATAACCTACTGGTATTCCAGAAAATATGTCGCAAGTTCATGATGAGCCCTTTCAATCATCTTTTACTTTCAAAGCAGCCTTTTTTCAGTATTACGTACGAAGCTGCAGCTGCTATCTGCAGTTCTTTTAAATCAGGAATTATCGGTTTTAAGATCTACTCAATAAAAAAGGAAGTGAAGGGCCTGGATGCTTAGCCCGATTACCCTTTCTATCTTCCGAGGGTCTCAATGGGGTGGTGCCTTTTACGGTTATCGGCTAAAATTTTGGCTTTTTTACGGCTATCGGTTAATTTTTTCCAGTTACGGTTAACAACAAAGTTAAAAATTAATTTCTTTTGTTTCAAGGAGTTAAATATTAATAAACCGGTATTTTTTTGCATCTTTAAAGCAAAATAAAGGTCTTAGGATCATCTCGGGATGAAATAAGCCATTCTTTTGAAAAATTTTAACATTTGATAGATCATACTTTTGATGAAGTATTCCACTTCTAATATAATTTTACCCATACAAATGTCAATAGTCAATTTAAAAATAATCTTTGTGAAAAAGCAAAAGCAGACTGACGCAAACGCTTAACTCAAGGCCGGTGCGCGACATTCATTTATAACAGAAATGGCCGTTTTCTCACTAAGAGGCGGATTATTCGGGTGTGACGGATTATCCGTTTGATAATTCGCGTCAGATAGGTAATACGTCTTAATTTGAAAATGGAATGGCTTTAATTTTGAATCAGAACATTCCGCCTGGCTTTCTCCGTCAATTTTGACGGACAATTTAATTGAAGATGGATTATCCATTTCAGGCAGCCTGTGTACAGCCGCCCCCTCCCCTGAGAAGGAGGAGGGGAGAAGGAGTGTCTGCGGGGGAGGGGGTGACTGTACACAGGCTAGTCTCAGATGGATAATCCATTTCTAGCTGTAGTGTTAAAACGGCCAGTGTAAAACAATTCCTATGTCAAGTGTTTTTAATGATAGCGAAGGACTGTACAGAACGACTGTCTGCCGTTGCCTTGTCCGTAGGCCTCATTATTTCGCGCGGCTGATGCGTTTCGGGTCACGTGGTCCGAGCGAGTTTTTTTCTCAGATACGCCACCGAAATGCCTTCACCGAGATTGCGTGGGAAGACGCCGTAGCGTTAGAGAAAAACAGAGAATTGTTACATGGAATTGTTGTTTATCGTCGACGTGTTACAAAGAGTGACATCTCTGCGTGTTGCTGTTATTTCGAGGGCACGACCTTTAGAAAATCTCAAATATTAATCCCCAGCAAAAAGCCAGATTTTCGCTATGGAAAAAATTAGTTCCCCGAGAGAGCGGCGGCAGAAATGGAGCCTAGGTCTAGGTGGCCTAGGTCAACACCTAAAAGCTAGGCGCTTGGCCTAACGTGCGTACGCAGTCAAAGTAGCCGTGAAATAAAAACGCAACCATAAGTGAGTTTAGCACCTTCCTTAAAACTAACAAATACAGGGAACAATTTTTTTACGGTTAACTCTTTCTTACCCTATTTACGGCTAACGGTTAAAATTTTTCAATTTTTACGGCTATCGACTAAATTTTTGGCCGTTTTACGCCTATCGGTTAACCCCATTGAGACCCTCTCTTCCGTCTGCATGAAGATAAAACAAGTTGCTGCTATCTCGGTAAGGCGTTTGGTGTTCAGGGACTGGAGTGACATTTAGATCCAAACGAGAAGAAAAAAGCAGCGAATGTAGAAGGAAGCCGAAATATAATAAATCAAACACCCTAATGTTCTCTTTCCTGTTCTATTGTGGTCTCATTATAAAATATAGGTTCACTCAGGATGCATTCAGTAATATCCCTCAACAACTGCACTAAATAAGTCAACCTCGTTCCCAAGGTTTCTCTCCTACTCGCCTTACGACGGGTAGGGCGGGTAAGAGAGAACCCTGGGAACGAGGTTGTAAATAAGTGAGATTCACATGCACATTTGCCAATGTCTTCGATTGCGTCACCTGTACGCTACGTTAAAGATAAAAAAAAAGCGACTGTTTTCGAAAAGTACACCATCGAGATCGAGAAACGACAAGGACGTATCGAAACCAGTAGCTCGCTATTTTAATATTGCCAATCATTTCAGCGAAAAAATGGCAATCCGCGGTCTCTTTCTTCACCAAGGCATCACGAAAGGCCTCAAAACTCTAGAGCAAAACTTATCTTTCAAATCGACACTCTCAATCGCCATGGAATCAACGAACGCTTCACGTTTTACCACGTTCCCACCAACAACGTTTCCAACCTCCGGGGTATAAACCACATACCCACAACCCACAATCCCCTGGTTTCGACCCTAGTTCGCTCTGACGAATAGCTAGAGCTCGAAACGTCAGCTTATCCATTTCTCCACCGAGGGTCAATCTTCCCTTGTCAAATCAGTTGATAAAACCAAAACTTTGTAATACACTGACGTTAAGTTTGCCCCTTAATGGACTAAAAAGCAAGATGCGCAGTGAGCTAAGCCTCTACGTGTGA